CAGGTACATATTATATATGTAATGAATTGTTTACAATAACATATTATTGTTTAAGTTGGCTATGATGATCATATATGTGTGATATTCACATTTTTGCATATTTTTATGTAGACGTTTAACGACGTTACACCATTCCCCTACGACGATTTTGTAGACATTCATAGACGTTGGACATATATCTTCAATGTGCTTAAGGATCCTCAACATGAGTTTAATTTGTAATATATATGTTTGATATATTTTGGATTTGATGAAGTAAATAGTTTTTTTTGGCTTTTGATGTAAATTCTATTTACCTTTGTAATATATGTATAAAATCAGATTCAGAATACATGTACAAAAATATAATGGGTTGGTAATGAAATAATATTGAAAAAATTATAAAAACTAATAAATATTTCACAACGGGTTATACAAAGGACCGTGATGATAAACAACACGTCTAATATATTTTTTTCATGTAACTGTTGAGATTCGAACTCATGACCTTGAGACTATGTAACAACGGGTGTAACCAACAACAATGGTTATAAGTAGAGCGCTACATAGTATATCACAATGGTCACACGCCCATAGTGGTATATAGCAAACTTACAACCACACACTACTTCACAACGGTGGGTCATTCATGATGGTATTTCCAACCGTTGTTGTATATATTTTTCGTAGTAGTGTCACGGTAAGTCCACAATCATGCTTGAATCAGTGGCATCACAAGATTATGGATTTGACATGCATTTTTTGGTATTGCAAATTCAAACAATGACATTAATGTGCTAAATCAATTCAGCATGTTTAACGATATTTTGGAAGGACATGCTCTTATTGTGCAATATACAATAAATGAGACACGATATATTATGGGGTATTATCTAGCGGATGATATATATCCTAAGTGGGCTACATTTGTTAATATCATTTCAATGTCACTGGGAGAAAAGAGAAACTTATTTGCATAACATCAAGAATTAGCTAGAAAGGATGTGGAACGAGCATTTGGAGTGCTCCAATCTCAATTTGCAATTATACATGGCCCAACGCATGCCTGGTGTTGGAAATTCACCTCACACCCTATGAAGAATTCCCTTCAATCTTGTTCTCAAGATTGATGAACAACCCCACAATAGGATAGTAATGGTAATAACAAGTAATTATCAAGAACAACAAAAGAAAAGAAGAACAAACAAGAAAGAGAAGAATGAGAGAAGAAATATTTGGAGAGAATGTGTTACCCACAACTGTGGGATTTCTTATTGCTTATATAACTTTCACTTGCTAAACATTGCAACTGTGAAATCTGTTCTATGTTGCGTTTGAATACAAAGCAAGACACCCTATTTATAGTTTTAGGTTTACAAAAGTCCAAAACATAAAAGACCCAAATTATTCAAATCAAATCTAATCATATCAAATCAAATCAAAACAATGAATTACATTTAACACCTGACACATGGAAACCCTCAAGCATACCATATATGGTTGCATCATATTGCACAACATAATTGTTGAAGATGAACGAGACACATATGAGGATGATTTTGATTACTCATATAGATAACAACAACTTAACAATTGAAGCATTTAACGATCCTCATCCAAATCTTGCAACAAGACTACAAATAAGAGCAAGTATTCGTGAAAAACAAGTTCATCGTCAACTTCAAGGAGATCTTATCGAGTATATTTGAGAACGTTTTGGACATGAGAATGATGAAATTTAAATTGACTAATTATGTGATGTTATTTATTTTTATTATTTTCAATTATATGTTATGTATTTGACATTAATTTTAGTTATCATTTTATATTTAATTTGAATTTTATTTATTTTATGTTAATTTTAATAAAATAATTTAAATTATTATCTTAAATAAAATAAAATTTAATATGAATAAAATACTAATATGTAAAGTAAAGTTGTGAGACTCAATATGAATTTTTTAGAGTTGTATTTTTGAAATAAAAATTGGATGAATTCCTTCAAGATGATGCGGTTTAATAGGTCTTTAAAAAAAATTAAAAATGAGTTGTACCATTGAAGATGTTTTTAGTTAAAAATGGTATAAAGTAAAATTAAAAAGTCTAATTTGCTTAGATGAGAAAATTGGATGTTAAATTCAACTAAATATCTTCTTTAATCCTTATTATTGAATTTTTGTTGAAGCTCTTAAGAGTTTGTTTATCTTTCTTCTATTAAGAGTTGAGTGTCCCATATACTCCTCATAATATATATTTGCTTATAAAATAAATTTTAAATTTAATAAAATTTTTTTAAAGAAAGAAAAAAAAAGAGCACACTATAAGTACCTCAAGTTTTCATAAATCAACATTTAGAAGGTTTTGAAAAAAGAATTTCTAACCAAACAACGATTTCTAAGAGTTAGATAGAAAAACTTATAGCCGGATAATTGATCGATTTTTTATCGATAGCGGATTCAAAATTTAAATTTAAAAAATTGCAATTTCATTTTAAAAGTTTAACTTCGACCCACAAATTTTAATTTTTAATGGATTCGGTTAATGGCAGGTAAATCAAATGAATTTAATCGATTTAATATTAATTGGATTAAACTTATAAAAATGACTCATTTTTGTTATAAAATTCACAAATATTTATTTTTTAATTCTTACAAGTTATTAAAATTTTATAATAGCCCAATAAAAAATATTTTTTATTATTAAGAAAAATTATTATTACGTGATGATATTTTAAACATTATTTGACATTAATTTAGTGAAGATTATATTTAAATTACAAATTAAATAACTTGTAAAGACACAATGTTATTATTAGATTACAAATAATAATAATAATTTGATGAACTACATTTTTATAAGAAAAAAACTTAAATACAATTCTTTAGATGTAATTTTTACTATTTTTTAATAAAACTATGATAAATGTATAATTTTTTCTTACACATATACAATTTATTTCGATTTTCACTCCTTAAATAATATTATTATGTTTTCATTAAAAAAATAGTCTAAAACCAAAAAAAAAAAAAGCAAAATCTTAAATTATCCAAATTGAATTCTGTATCTACCGGAACTCAATCCGAATCAATTTATTTGCATAAAAAAAAAAGAGTTAGTTTTAAATTAAATATTTAAATTTGTACATATCTAAACAAATTAGATTTAAACCCAACTGACACAAAAGAGATGTAAGCAGAAAAAAACGCAGGAGATCTGTTTCCCATGGGTTACTTAAAGTAACTGTTTAAATAGGTTGGACCCGTCAATTACATAGAAACAGAAAAGCCCCAACAACAAAACAACTCACTTTCTCTGCCCACGAACCCTAATTTCCTTTCTCGTTCACCTCTGAAGATTTCATCTCCGTCATATTCTTCTTTTCGAATTGTCAACACCTCTATTACTCTCTCAAGGTTTGTTTCTATTCCCCTCTTTCATTCACCACTCTTCCTCTCAATTTCACACCAATTTTCTGTTTTACGAACTAGGGTTTTTGAGTTTCGTTTTGGGTAATATTTTCGCTTCTTTCAATTAGCTTGTTGTAGGTTTTAGAATATAATAACATATTTGTGTTCGATATTAAAAGGGTTGTTTGTTTGGTACGTTAATTATTTCGACGATCACAAAATTTGGTTTTTTTATGCGGTATATGATTTGCAAAGAGCTAGTTCCAAAAACTGGTTTTTCTGTTTTTATCGACGATAATATGTTTGAAATTGGAACGATTTTTACTTTCACTAACTTTATGGTGTGTGTTGTTGCAGTGACTACTGGTGAGAAATGCAAGATCCAAGGATTCCTTTGTCTGAGAATACCTTGAGTATTAAGCCAAAGAAGAAGAAAAACCCAACCCAAAAGGCATCATTACTTCAGGTGCAAGGGAATATTGTCATCGGAGAGGGAAAGGCTCTTCTGCCATTGAAGTCGAGACACAAGGGTTCCAAAAGACCTATAGTGACTGAAGTCTCGCCGTCTTTTCAGAAACTGGAGGGTTCCAATTCTGATTCGTTGCCCGACTCCTCTGCGGGTGGAAGTGAATATCGTCAATTGAGGCGGAAGTATTTGCAGCTGGAGGATGATGGTTTCGCACTAAGTAAAGAGCTAAAAGAGGCTGAAGATCAGGTGAAGACCCTTGAGGAGGAGAAGATTGCGTTGCTGGATCAACTCGTTGTTATGGAAGGTCTTGTTAATCCAACAGAATTCACTCGTAGTGATTGCAGTTAGCTATCACTTCATCTTCTGATCGTGAGACCTACATGCTGTTATATATGTAATGCCTATAATGAAGTCAATGTTCGCCTCCTTTTGTGCAGGGCTTTAGAAATTCGATGGATTAAAATCATCTGTAGATATTTTAGAAGTGAAATGCTGAAGCTCACTAATATCTAAAATGCTGTTTGAATACATCACATCGATTATCGTAGTTATAGTATATTGTTCATATTTCTTGTTCACCATTTGGATTCCTTGTTTTACTTTGAATTGTGATATACTGTTTTATAAAGCATCAACAAGTTGTCACTGGACAGTGAACTTGGGGAATCGACCTATAATTAATACATTCATAGGGATTAATGCATCTTAAAACGTGGTAAGTTTTTATTATATTTGGAACCCAAAAAGGTTGTAAACGATTTCTTATATTTAATAGGTAAAATATTACAATAATGACCAAACTATTTTAACTTCCCAGCTCCCAGCCACAAGTATACATTTCTGTTGCTGACTAACCTACAATAATGCTACATAACAATGTTCAAAATGTAACCAAACAAAAAACAATGTTCTCTGTTGTAACAACTGACTAGTAGTGATAAAGTATTCTGAAGGGATCAAGATATATTATCTTTGAATTTTGTTTGGTATCGCTTGCTTCTCAAAACATGTAACTGTAACTTAGGTTTGGAAATGATAATTTAAATTCATCGGGACATGAGTATGAGTGTACGACTGCTTGTTCTTATAGCGACCATGGGAGTCTCACAGCTCTTAAGCTAATATGTACATATTTACGAATGTTGTTATCTGACCAACCCAAGGCTCGCTGTTGCAATCTTTACAACTAAAGGACTGGCGACCTGTGATATTCTGTTATTCCATATTAAGAACCCAAATGCATAGTCCTTTATGGGAGCAATCACTTTGAAATTCACAGTGAACTTGATTTTCTGTCCTGTTCTTGTGAATACTAACCGATTTGGCACAACAGTAACATTAACTCCGTCTGGAGACAGCACTTCAGCTTCATATATACTTCTTGCTTTTCCAACATTAGTCACAACACGAGTTGCTGAAAAGCTGTCTTCAAGATTGGGAACTGTAATAGATGGATAGTTGAGGTCAGATGGTGTTTTGAATGCACCAGCGCATGTGCTGTTGTCTCTTGTAACGAGGTGGAGTGACTTCTCATCGTAACCAATTGAACACAGGAATGCAACAAAATCTTCTGGCTGTGAATCATATACAAGACCGGGATCCAGAACTCTTGTAGGGTTCACAAACCCTGATCCATAATCAAATGCATCAGCCCTTCTTCTATCAGGATCCGCTTTAATTGGCTTGTTTTGCTTATCCACAATAGTTGCTGCATGTAAAATTTATGATTAGTTCCTTGTGCATCGATAGTGACTAGTGAGTCTTGTGCACTGTAAGGTCTAAGTATTGAACTTTCTATAGTGCTCCCAGTATCTAGATTTTTTAGGCATAAAATGGAAGACCAAATTTAATCTAGTAGGAAGATTTAATTTAATGTTTGATTAAGAAGAATCTCAACAAGCCACATAGAGTAATATAAGAGCTAGATAATTATATATAGGTCGTAATACCAGTAGTCATGATGGCAGATTTGATAGCAGACGGAGACCATGAAGGATGCGCAGCTTTGATTAAGGCTGCAATTCCAGTTACATGAGGACAAGACATAGAAGTTCCTGATAGAATATTGAACTTCATATTTCCAGCTGCTGCTGGAGACCATGCTGCCAGGATGTTTAACCCGGGAGCCAAAACATCGGGCTACATAGTAGTACAACAAGAAATCAACAAGGGTTAAGTTGAGAAAAAATAAGGCATTTTATGAACTCGATGGTTAATAGAGAATATAACCTTCAAAATTTCCGGGGTTAAGGAATTGGGGCCCTTGGAAGAAAATGCTGCCGCACGCGGTGCAGGCTGAACTCCTACTACTGTCTTGGCCCTGGAAATCCTAGATACAGGTATGCTGTTCACCATTATACTATACATGATTAGAGAATGGAGATAGAAGATATCAAAATGTGTCTATTTAATCAAATATAAAACAACAAACCTTGTGCTATTGATATATGATAGAATCTTCTCTCCCGTTTTTGCCTGAACAATAGCCGAAGGTATGACAAATGGGATGGCAACTTCTTGGTCTGTTTCATCAATAAGTATCATCCCAACTCCACCTGCCTCTTTCACTACCCTACTTTTTTCCAATTTTGATGCCATTGAACCTTCGTCGTGTCTACACACCAGAACCTTCCCTTTGGTCTTTGTCTGGTTTAATGAGCTATCCAAACAATAACTACAGAAATGTAGAAAATAGGACAACACTTAACTTTAAAAGCCATCCATTTGCATTGATATTTAGGAAACTCTAGCTTCGAAGTACCTTGTGCTTCACCTGGATTGATAAGGAGTAAAATATCCTGCAAAGGCTTCAGATGCCGGAATTGTTCTTCTGGAGGCATTCATTTCCAGTAGACTGAGACTGTCACCCTAAGGCAGACATAGAGAACTGTTAGAACAACAACAACCATGGTTCAAGTGATAAAGATGCAAAAAGCGCAAACAAAAAACACACAAGATATCAAAATTTGATTACTAAGTTTGGCCAATCGTGCTTACGTCTCAGACTGCAAGAGTTATTGCAGTGTCTTTCTATTTTCCAACCCTAGAGTTACATATTAGAATTTATGTTTAAACACCGTATCTGTGTTTACCTTGATGTTAACACCATTTCCTAATATGATATCTGAGGTGAAATCCCTATCTGTTGAGCTAGCAGCAACAGTGATGATCCATGGTGCAAGGTTTGTTGCAGAGCCAGGAGTTCCTTCATTTCCAGCTGATGCTACTACAAGAACTCCATGTCTAGCAGCATGGAAAGACGCCATAGATATGGCATCACTGAAATAGTCGCCTTGAGGAGATTGAGGACCAAGAGATAATGATATAATGTGAACACCGTCTCTTATGGCATCATCAAAGGCAGCTAACAAGTCCACATCATAGCAACCTGAATTCCAACATGTTTTGTAAACAGAAATTCTAGCCATTGGTGCACCTCCCCTAGCTTTTCCTGCTGCCAAACCCTTATAGTTCATATCTGCGACGTATCGTCCTGCTGCTGTGGAAGCTGTATGGCTCCCATGACCAGAGCTGTCTCTTGCAGATCTGTAAGAGACTTTCTTGTCTGACCCTTCTTCTGCTTCATATCCACTCATATAATATCTTGCTCCTATCACTTTCCTAAAGTATACCATCAATTATTAACCATTGAAAATGGTCCACCTTGAACCTAATAATACATATGAAGTCAAAAAAATCATAAAGTGATGATCATGTTATTCAATCAGAAACCTGTTACAAGATGAAGCATTGAATGCTTCTCCTATTTGACAACGGCCTTTCCATCTGCGTGGAACTGGTGGCATGTCAGTGTCTCTAAAGCTTGGGGATTCTGGCCAAATTCCTGTGCAAATAATGGTGATTGATTATGACTAAAACCTGTTAATCATGCTTGGCTTTTACTGCTATTCTTTAAAGTAGTAAAAGAAATAAATAAAGTGTGTAAATACTTGTGAAAACCGGCTAATAAATGTTTACATGAGACTTCTAAGAAAAGGTGCATGTTCTACGTGAGAATGAAGGGATGGTTACATAGAAGTTATCAAAAAGGTACACCTTACTGTGAGAATAAGACTTCTCACTCACCTGTATCAATGATACCAATAATAACATTTGCTTGGTTTTTGTTTGAGTACCCCATATTCTCCATGGTTTCATCATCCAAAAGTCCCATGAAATCCCATGAATGAGTAGTGTGCAACATTCTTTTAGAATTGGGGAACACCGAAACCACTCCTTCCATTTCTGGTGAAATTCAAACCAAATACATAAATAAATGATAAAAATAATATAATCCTTCAAAAATTGAAGCTTTTAAAGAAGATGAAAACTTCACTGACTTGAAATTTGGTAAGCCTGTTCCTCTGTTAGCTTTGCTGCAAAGCCTTTGAAACCATGTTTGTAGCTATAAATATGTGAAGCTTGTGCTTGTTCAATACTGTTACATAAAAAAGGTAAAATCACATATCTGAAATAACATAGAAAAATGAATATATTCCAAATGAATAAAACTACAAGCATTAATTCTTACCTTCCCCTATTAACTTCTGCAAGCATTTGATGATTCTGCTTCAGAATATTATCCGGGTCTTGATCGTTACTTTTGCTTCCCATGTAGACGACATAAACCTGTCAGTTCCATTCAATTCAGATTCCATAACTTGCATTTAAGACAACCCAAAAGGAAAATATATACATACTTGTGAAATTTTATACCTTGGCAGAAAAGCAAAAGGTTGAATTTGCAACGAGTACTGCAAGAAACAGATTAAAGAAGGCAAAAGTTCTTTGGCATGTAAAAGAAAGCATTGCCACAAGGATCTTCTATAAGTTAAAAGAAGTTAGAAGAAGAATCTTGTTTGCAGTTGTTGTATAAAAACTTTGGTGTTTTGTTTTGTCTTAATTGAATGAAATTAGTACGTAGTTATATATAACAACAAAAAGAATGGAAAAACGTGGAGTAGTGGGAGTAAAGGAAAGTAGTAATGGGAAAAAGACTAAGATGAAGACAGAGAGAGAGAGAGAGAAAGAGAAGGAAGTGTTGCTTTAGGAACAAGTAAAAAGAACCGCAAAAGAGTCCATATTTTTATGAAACCGTTATATCTTAAAAGCAATGTATGTTATGTAATGTAATACTCTTAAACACTCAATCATTTTATAACCTCTCCCAGACAGGTTCAATCAGTTACTGTTTGATTATTTTGGCAGTTTTATAGGGTTTTTAATAATGAACTCTTGATTTGTTCCATTGTGATGATGTGTTTATGAAGTTTTAGATGTATTTGTCCAAACAATGAGAATGATTCCACTGCCTTTCTTAGCATTGACTGTGAAATAGCGTATAATTGTTATAAAATGTAGCAATTGCACTTGTCATTTGTCAAAGATGGTTAGGTCTCCTGGTCATGCATAATTTGCAGCCATGATTTGGATTGTAGAAATTTCACTATTGAATGGATTACATGTAAATTTCATCGTAAATCTACAATTCTAGTAAATATAATGCCTCAGGATAGTTTTCTATCTTATGTGTTTAAATTTTAAAACTAGTTTGTATTTTGAGTTTTAAAAATTTTAAAAACTAAAACAAACAATTGTTTATCAAACATGTTTTAATTACTATATACTGTCAGTGTGTAAAAAGTTTTACACCGTCAGTTCATCACCGTCACTTGATGGTAATCTTTTATTAATGATTTAAATAAAAGTCAATTTTTTTTTAACATCTAACGATTATAATTAACTGACACTATAAATGTATTTCAATTAAATTCAAACTTAAAATCTTCCGATTTAAAATTATTTATATATTTTTAATGAGAAAATAGAATATACACATATATTAAAAAATAATTTTATATTGACAACTAATAAGTAACATGTATCCTGCTAAATTATGTTAGTATTTTTAAAATATGATAAATTGATAATTTTCTATCGTGTAAAATTGTCTCTAGGATTAACTTAGTCGTGAAGGCTTAGATCTTGAGAATGTGATCATCTCAAGGTCTTAGGTTGATTTAATCTGACTTTAAATGAAACTCCTGCAAATAGACGATAAAATTGATCTCATTAAATTTGTCGATCAAAAAATCAGTTACTAAAATTATAAAAAATAAAAAAAAAACAACATTAGAATGTATATCTATTAAACTTATTTTTATTTTTTATTTTAGGATAATTAACCTTTTATAGCTTTATAATTTATCTATTAAATTTGTTTTATCTTTAAATAAATAATTTTATTTTTATATTTTAAAAGAAAATTTAAATGTTTTTTAAAATATCAACAACTTTGAACAATCAATCTTTACCTTATTAAGTGGGGTCGGCTAAATATATCAATTTGCGTTATAATATTCAATTCAGGATCATATTTCTATCTAAAGAAAATTTTACCAAATACTCCATCATTTTTTCCGCTACCCCTACATTATATTCTTTTTTATCAAAATATCCTCATATAAACAATTTATTAAAAATTAAAAAATATTATAAAAACTTACTACCAAAACTCTTTTGCAAAGTCTTACGATACACAAAAATTGACTAGCAGAACTATTTTACAAAGTCCTCCGGTACACAAAATAAAAGTTAAAAAATATTTTAAAAAATTACTACCGAAACTCTTATGCAAAGTCTTTCGGTACACAAAAAGTGACAACCAAAACTCTTTTATAAAGTTTTCCGGTACACACAAAAAAAGTTTTAAAATGACTACCGAAACTCTTTTGTAAAGTCTTCCGGTACACAAAAGTTGATTACCAGAATTCTTTTGCAAAACCTTCCGGTTCACAATTTTTTTTTTAAAAAGTTTAAAATATGACTATCAAAACTCTTTTGGAAAGTCTTCTGGTACACACAAAAAAATTAATAAATACTTGAAAAATAACTACCGGAATTCTTTTACAAAGTCTTCCGGTACATAAAATAAAATTTAAAAAATAAAATAATAATTTAGTTAAAAATATACAAAGGTAAAATTGGTATTTTTTATATAAAACGTATGGGTATAGGGATAAAGGTATCGGTATGAGGTAAAATTTTCCTATCTAAATTGTTAATCTCGATATCTTTCTTAATAATTTCTCTTATGGTCTTTCGAAGTCTTCTTTTCCCTCTAATTTTTTTACTTCTCTCCATCTGATCAAATTTCCTTACTACATAATCTACAAATCTTCTCTCTACATACTCAAACCATCTAAGTTTATTTTTCACCATCTTCTCTATTGTAGGTGTTACCCCAATACTCTCTCTAATATTTTCATTTTTTTTATCGTATATTGTCTAGTCTTACCACACATCAAATGCAACATTCTCATCTTTGTCACACTTCATTCATGTGTTGATTCTTAATCATCCAATATTCTGTCTCTGATAACATTGTAGGCCTTACTGTAGTCCGATGAAATTTTTCCTTCAACTTAAGTGGTATCTTTGCGTTACATAGAACCTCTGAAGTCCTTATCCATTTCAGCCACACAGCTTTAATTCAATGATTTACATTCCCTTCTATTTCTCTGTCACTTTATATTACAGACCAAAGACATTTAAATTGTGTGACTTGAGGGATAATATGGTCTCTAACTTTCAGCTCTTGGTTAGAAACGCTTCTTCTTTTGTTGAACTTACATTCCATATACTTCATCTTACTTTTGCTTAAACGAAAACCACGAGTTTCTAAAGCTCGTCTCCAATCTCTCATTTAAATTTTTCGACTCTCCAAGTAGGACTATATCATCTGCAAAAAGCATGTATCTCGGTACTAACTCTTGGATGTGTACCATGAGTACATCCAAAATTAAGTTAAAAGGATAGGGATTTAGGGTTGAACCTTGATTCACACCTATTGTAATAGGAAAAACATTTATCTCTCTACTATGTGTCTGCACATTAGCATATACTACTTAATATATTTCTTGGATATCTGAATATATGTAATTCTAACCCCTTTCTTCTTTAGGGCTTTTCACAAAATCTCTCTAGGAACTCTGTCATACGCTTTCTTCAAGTTAACAAAAATTAAATGCAAGTCTTGTTGATTCATCTGATACTGCTCCATCACACATTGTAGTAAATAGATCGCTTCTATAGTCAACCTTCCAGACATAAAATAAAATTGGTTCTCAGTGATTTGGACATCTTTTCTTAGTCTCCGTTCAACCATTCTTTGCCATAACTTCATGGTTCTCAGTGGCTAGAGTGTTTCTTCTCCATTCACCTTACATATGCTTTGACCTTATAATTTCATTAAAGAGTTTGATAAGCCACTCAATACCTTTATCTCCCAGAATTTTCCAGACTTCATTAGGTATGTTGTATGGACCAACCACCTTAATATTACTCATCATTTTCTACATTTACTTTACCTTTTGTTTCAGAATCTGACGATCGTAATTATCGTTTCGATCCTCTTATCTAATGTCGAGTCTGCTTGATTCTGGAGAGACATCATATCCTTCATTAACCAATACTTTATATCTTTTTTCTTAACCAAAACTTTGTCTTCTTCATCTTTAACACACTTCAATTGATCCAAATGTCGTATATTACTTTTTATTCCCATAGCATATATATATATATATATATATATATATATATATATATATATATATATATATATATATATATATATATATATATATATATATATATATATATATATATATATATATATATATATATATATATATATATATATATATATATATATATATATATATATATATATATATATATATATATATATATATATATATATATATATCCCTCTTTGGCAACTTAAAGTTTGTATAATTCATTAAAAGCTTGGATTTTTGCCTCGCTCACCGCCTTTTTGGTCTTACTCTTAGCTTTCTTATATTTTTTGGCTTAATTGCAATTTTGATCCCCTTATTTTCATTTTTTTAAGTTTTGGTACCCTTATTTTAAAATCTGGAGTTTTGTCCCCCTGTTTTTAATTTTTATTTTTGAGCCCTTTATTTTAAAATTTGAAATTGTGTTCCCTCTATTTTAATTTATTTTTTATTTTTGGTCCCTCTATTTTAAGTTTGTTTTGGATTTTAGTTTCCTTTCCAATTGAAAAAGGGGACCAAAAGTCTAAAAAAAAGTAAAAATAAGGGGACCAAAATTTTGGATTTTAAAATAGAGGAACAAAAAGTATAAAAAAATGAAAATAGGGGGACACAATTTTTGAATTTTAAAATAGAGAGACCAAAAATAAAAATAAAATAAAATAGGGAGACCAAAATTGCAATTAAGCATTTTTTTTGCAAGTTTTAGCATTTTTACACATAGACCATTCTTTTAAACAAACAATTCTTACTCTAAGTTTACTCTGAACACTTTCGTTCCACCGTCACGATTCTTTACTCCTAGATTCAAAACCTCTTTATTCTCCCAACGTCTCTTTAGCCACTTTTCTAATCTTTGGGTTATCTTTTTTCACATATCATTTACACTTTCTTGAGGTTGTTCGAATCTTCCCTCCAAGATCTTGTGTTTGAAATTTCCTTATTTTTTACCCTTCAAATGTCACCACTTGATTTATGGTTCTTCCATATGACTTCTTCTCTCCACTCTCCCCTTGATTCTTACATCCATAACAAATACTCTATGTTGGGTAGTTAAACACTCTCCTAAAATAACTTTATAGTTCAAGAAAATCTTCTTATCTGACTTTCTAATGAAAAAAAATCTATCTGAGAACATGTTACTCCCATATATCATGTATGCCATCAAAATCTGTTGTTATGCTCCCCTATGACTATTTAGATTCCCTCATGGAAAAAGTTTATCTTCTTATGATA